ATAAACTAATCCTAATCTGATAATAAGATAAACTAATCCTAATCTGATAACAAGATAAACTAATCCTAATATGATAATAAGATAAACTAATCCTAATCTGATAATAAGATWAACTAATCMTAATYTRATAACTTACTAACAAGATAAGATAAGAGCAATAGAATAAGATAAGAACAGGCAAGATGATCTAATCTAATCTGGCGGTGGGTCAGGTTCCTGTTGCTGCCGGCGGCGATGGTACGTCTTTCCGAGGAATGCGTCCATAACAAAAAATCACTGAGCAATTCAAGTTCTTAGTCAAACTACTAATAGATAACAAGTTAGTACTCAATTTGGGTACAGGGAGAATAGAGGGTAGGGAAATAGAACCAATTATCTTGACAGACCCCATTCCAGCAATGGAAAAATGAGATCCGTCGGCTGTGGAAACTTTGTCTCTACCAGAGCAGAGTTGTTAAGAGGAGAAAATAGTGGAACTATGGGTCCATGCTCTGAGACTCTAGAATCTATAATCCAAGGAGGTCCCTCCTTACCTGTAGTAGAAACATAGTTTGCAGTGGCATGTGAACTACCTGTATAAGTAAAGGAAATAGAATGTCCACCACCAGATCCACCTGTACCTAGCTATCCAGCTGGTAACGGATTAGGGCTGACTGTATCTCGCTGATTAAGTAATTGCCCATATCTCTCAAGTTTGGTCCTCACTGCAGCAGCTGCAACAAACTCCAAAGTAGTTGTAGTAGGGGGTCCAAGTAAGTCACCAGTTACTGCCATATTAACATTTCCCTTCTTGTTTTTGAGTCTATTCGACACAAGGTGAGGGTGAAGCTTCCAGCAAGTATCTCTCGTGTGTTTAGGCTTCTTACAGTAGTCACAGATCAAATCCTTCTTATCTTCCTTCCTGATTTCACTGCCACCCCGATCTCCACTTTGTTTAGGTTTCACAGTACTAACCATGCCTAACTGCTCAAGACCCAAATTCTTCATCATCACATTCCTACTCTCTTCCCCTAATACAAAGGCATATGCCTGAGAGAGTAACACTAACCTTGGAAAGGATATGCCTTGGAATGTCATACTCGGGATTAAGGCCAGGAAGAAATTCAAAGACTCTATTCTTCTCTAAGAGCTTTTGGTAGGTAGCTGCATCCTTACTACTTTCCCAAACCATTGTCTCTAGACGGTCAATCTCCTGCCATAGGGTTTTAAGGGCCGAAAAATAAACAACAATAGGTTTATCTCCTTGTCTGGTAGCAATAACCTGGTTCCTCAACTGGTAGGCCCTAGCAACATTCTCACTCTGTGAATAGGTTTCTGCAACCCCATCCCAAATTTCCTTAGCTGTATTTGCCTACAAAAAGTTTTTACTTATATGGGGCAGCATAGAGTTGCACAACCAAGTCATTACCATATAATTTTCCTGTACCCACCGGGAGCAGTTAGTCTCGGGTTTCACTTCCTCACCAGTGATATACCCCAACTTCCCACGAGCACCAATGGCCATCTTTGCAGATTGTGACCATTCTAAATAGTTTGTACCATCTAACTTAAATTGTAGTGATGGTCCTAACCCCGAAAAGGTCTCCAACACCTCCTCCCCCTTGTCCCATTGTTTTCAACTCTGTGGCCCTCCATTATTCCCAAAAAAGGGTTAGAAAATCACTTTAAGATGAAGAAATATGAAATAGTTCCCTTCAAGCACCACAAACACCCTTATGGTACCCTAGATGGTCCTCTCACAAAAGATTCCCTTTCCGCGGGAGTAGGAGAAGGGAGAGAAGAAGCAGCTGCTCCCTCTAGAGGCCTCCAAAACAGGTGGGGCTTGAACCACAGCCTTTAGAAAACTCCAAGAAACCCTAAAAAATTAGGGTGCCACTTCCTAGGTCAAAATTGAAGAGTCCTACAAAAATAGGACTCTCCAGCTACAGGGCAAAAAAGATCCACCAAAAAATCCAAAAACTGGGCTTACCTGAGGTCTTCGATCAGCCTCTCATATCACCATGCAGTCGGCCGATCTAGGGCTGAATGATAGAGCAGCTTAAGAAACCTTCGGCCTGCTCTAATACCAAGTAGAAGTTGCTGATAATTGATTCTGATATATGATTTGTGAAGAAAAGTAGAAGCTGAAAGGTTTCAGCAAGAGAGAAAGAAAGAGAAGAAGAAAAGAGAGTGGGATGTAGCTAGAATTGAATAGATCTGGCCGCCAACCCCTCTTGATTTATATACTTAAGTAAAAGAATGAAAGATTACAAAGATACCCTTAGTAGGGTGGCTACTTTAAGTAGCTGAACAGTCGCAACTTAAAATTAACAGAAACTAATGGGCCTACGGCCCAATAACTTCCTAACTAAATAACTTAAATAAAAATAAAACAAAGCTGGGCCCAATAACTTAAAATTGGCCCAAACTCAACAGTCTCCAATCCTAAGTACCCTGATTTGCACTCTTATTATTACTTGACTTACATATCATATAAAAATATGCATTCCTTATTCCAAAACTCTCATTAGACTGGTAAGCTATATGAATGTCAAACATTATGCATCAAATATAAGTATGCATTCATGTCTAGAATATATAATAAGAATCATAAAACTGTAAGCAAATACATCTCAAAATAACCAATAGTTATGACTAATAAATGCAAGTAAAAATGTTAAATTAATTAAAAGTACGTAGGTTACAACAAGTTTCAGAAGAACCTATCACATATTAATGCTTGTCATATAATTACCTTATCAAGCCATATATCAACAAGACTGAGTAGGATATTTTCTTCCATAGAAATGCCTGCCTGTTGGAGTGCTTGCAAAAGCGATGGCTCTGACGTTAAATGGGCAAGATAATTGCTATTCATAACCAAGATCCTTGCTAGAATAGCTGCTGAAGATGCTTTGACTGCTGTCTTAGAAGGATCACGATCATCCCCTCCACTCAAACATATTACAACTAATTTCTATCAACATCAAAAGATACCCATCCCCAAACAAAAGGAAAAATAAATAAATAAATAAAAAGAAGAAATAAAAGGAAAGGTGAAACAATGAAGCCATCTTAAATTAGTATACAAATAATTGGCTACTATGGAGATTAGGCTCTATTTGTCATGCAACTGCATGGGAGTGCAAATTCTGGTTCACTTTTGCTTCAGGTTTAACTTTGATTTGTTTGAGGAGTATAATGTGCAGTAAAATTATGTAGTCCCTACATCATATGGAAGAAAATGAAGGTGGGACAAAGTGGTGTAAAATTTGCACCAGTTTTTGGATGCAAAATTTGCATCACCAAATAGTGCAAGTTCTACACCAGTCATCAGGTAGGAGTGCAAAGCTTCACTACAAACAAACACCTCCAAGTTGAAAGGGTGCATATTTTGCACCCAGTTCGGATTTGCACTGCAAATAGAGTCTTAAGAACATCCTCCATCAAATTCTACTTGGCTAAGAAATTCAAATACCTGAAGAGTGGTGCTAATTAATGGGGGCGCTTCCATAGGGAAACACTGCAAAAGCAGCACCAAATAATCAACTGTTGTTCTTTATATCTAAATTGAGGACATTGACAAGTATAGGTGGATATTTCATGCAACTATGTTCAATGTTGTAATAATTCAATGTATTTACTACCTATGCCAAAAATTTAAATCAATTCAAGAAATGGAAGGGCATTCTTAGCAATCATATGAAGAATAAGTTCGATCTTTTGATCAAAGGGGCACATCAGGGTATATGTAGTCTAGCCTGGGGATTCTTGGTAGTCTTCTTTAATTTTAGTGGGCCAAGGTTTGAGCTTAGCTAACTAGAAACCAAATGATAATAATGTAGTTGCAATATAAAGTTTTGTAAAATGAGCATGGCAGAAATGTGTATGCTGACATGGATGAGTGGATAAACTTAAGGACAGGGTCAGAAATGAAATCATTTGAAAGAACCTAGGAGTAGCTCCAAGCCTCCAATAGGTGATAAAATGAGAGAAGGTAGACTATGATGGTTTGAACACAGGTCTGAAGTTTCACTCCCCCAGAACTTACCAACTAAAATATATCTATAGTTCTATAATGAAAAAAAAGCACAAAAAAGTTCTTTTTTTCACTAAATACTATTTAAGTCACTCCCAATGAGATCACAAGCGTAAAATATATTATATAAGAGCAAGTACTATGGTAACTAAACACATAAAAAATGTGACATCAAATAAGAGTATCCAAAAATATTTTGGCCTTGCATTAGGGGAGGTCCATCATGAAGCCTATCATTCTATATTGACAACAAAATGTATATAAAGAAAGAAGCATTGCAACTTAAAATATGACTTCTAACAGGATTCACCAAATATCAAAATGCAAGAACCCTACAACAATTCATTGATATACAATAAATAAAACTAAAGCAGCACCTGTATTAAAATTTCAATGACTGGAAGCATTGATAGCAGTCCTCTATCATTCACATTTCCAACAATCAAATCAAGAAGCTTAGCCACACTTGAAGCATGCATGTTCAGGAACTCGGTTCCACCCAAAATTATGTAGCCCTCTATGATATTGACAGCAGCCTATAATTAAGAAGTACAGAGTGTTGACATCATGATGCTAATATGAAATAGAAAGTAAAAAGTCATAACAAAGAACTACTAATTAATGATCTGAAAGAATGCAAGTAAAAAATTTGTCAACCAACAACAAATTTAACCATGCTCAATATTCCTCCAACAACAGATTTGGCAGGTCAAATGTGCAGTCTTCTTTCTCCCTCTTTTCAATAACAGGTGAACTTTATTAGAAATGAGTGGAAGAAAATGTAAGGAACAATAAGCTAACCTCAATTAGGAGGCACCCGCATGTGATACTAATAGTTACAATTTCTCTGATATCCACAAAAAAAATTCCCTAGTAACAAGGGTTGAATTACCATTAATCCATATTGATTGCATTGCAAGGGAGTTTGCTCTTATGCCGTGCATTGTTTGAAGAGATGTAAGATTCTCCAAGTACTATCATATGCACTATAACGTATCTATCTATAGGATAAACTTTGATATGAGCATATGGTCTAAATTTCATCAATACATATGGCCGGAATCCACTATAGAAAATGAAAAAACATTAAAAAAAAGTCTAAAATTACTAAAAACATATATTTCTTAATTTATCTTTAGAAGAATATAATGCAAGTCTTTTTAATTTTATATATCATAATAATTTCAAATGGTATACATGAGAATTTTTTTGTGATGTACAAAAAAGATTTATAACTAATAGGTGCATTGACATTTATTAGACCATGGGAAATGAGAAAGTTCTACTAGGATGAATGTGGCAAGAAGAGGAAGAATATCAACTTAAATTCTTAATTGTGAAAAGAAGAGATTCAGATCTGAACACAAATGAGAAAGAGAAGAAACAATGCACTTCTAAAAGAAATGAGAGAAATAATATCACACTATTACCTGTAGATAGCTTAAAACTAAACCTCTATTCCAATATATCAACTCTTAAATTCAAATAACTATGACCCTAATTATAGACTAAACATGAGAGCTAGGCTATCCATTTGCAGACTCCAACTTAAACTAGGAAACTGACCCAAAAAATATTCTAAATTTCTATTTACTTTTAAATCAAGGAAAGCAAATAGGTAACCCATAGGGACATTCAAATAAGGACTCTTAACTCCTAAAACAACTCTACCAACATTTTCGGATCCGACTACAACTAATATATTGTAAAGACACTAGAAATTACTGAAAATAGTATATTGTTTTTTTTTTCCTGATCCTACTACAGCTAACTTAATCATCAATTTTTGAGTGCCCTTCTTTTTTTGTATAATAAAAAAATCATTAAAAAATAGAAAGAAGGTGATAAGTTATCACCTGAGGGAAAAAGATAGATGCTTAAGACACAAAAAACAACTATTGAAATCTTATAACAAAACTTAAACAAGGAAACAAACCTTCGAGCCCAAAGAATCCCGCACACCTCCACCTGTACCGAAGCCAAGCAACACTTTTCAAAAGCCAACATCTTAGTCCTCCCCCTCGAACATTTCTTCCCGCCCTTTCATCATCCTCATTCCAAATCTCACCACCTTCCCCAATTATAGCTTTTGAAYTTTTCCAACCTCTCTTCTTTCCTTCTCTCAAAATCCTCAAAGGTTCTCCTAGAAAACCCCTCACTACTCCAGAAAAACAGGCCAATCCTCTTGCCAATCTCTACATCTCTTTCAGCAATTTTCTCAACAGGCAAGTGTTAGGAACCTGCATAACTCAGGGCTCTTCGAGGTGCCAACCTCCTGAATTCTTGGAAGGAGAGAGAGAGAGAGAGAGAGTTTAATGCTGAAAGAGTCCTCCTCTATTCCTTTTCTGCTCTACTACTTATAGTGCTACAATCTTGACTGTCACAGCTGTTACAAGTGGATGGCAGTTTTTACAAGTGGCTGGTTAGTTGAGCTGATGTGGCCTCCTCTTGTAAAACTGACTAACTGCCTTCTGTTGGTCTGTTCCAACAGTCTTGACAGCAAGTTTCCTGACCTCTCCTTTTTTTTCTTTTTTTTCAGAACATGTATCCAACACACCTTCAACAGAATCCAAACCATCTACACTTCTTTTCCTGCTGAAAACTCTCCATCTGGGAATCTGGTCTGATGTGAATCCGAGAACCTTCCCTGTCAATCTCATCAACAATCAGCGCCATCATCTTCACACCTTTTCAAATTTTTTTGTAAGCCCTGCTCCCACCAGACCAAACTTCAGCTGAGAGAAAACTTTAGTGACGTGAACCAATTGAAGATTTCTTGAACCCTGAGGTTCCTTAGTGACTGCCACAGCAATTACAACCAAATCTTCTCTTTGACCCTCCTCCATCCCAACTCCACCCATATCCTTCCAATTACCAACTCTTCAAAAACAAAGTGATTATCAACCGAGATCTCATCCTGAGTAGAATTTCTACAACCCATTGCATCAACCAAACTTCCCCCTTCACCCTCTCCAACACCTCTACCAACTTCAACACAGACTCGGCATCCTCTCGATTGCAAAGACCTGGAGCGCAATCGGCATCTGACTCCCTTTGATCATTCTCAATATCAGAAACCTCCACCCCAGATTTCAAAACAAACTTCTTTTGAGAAGAAGTAACATTTATATTCAGAAGGACCACCGGGGGGGGGGGGGGGATGTACATGAAAGGATGTACAAAAACACAAACAGAACAAAGCAAACACCTATTAGCAGGGCCAAAAATCTGTATTTCCAGGGTGCTGACTGTATATTCTTTGCCCAAGAAATCACCAATAGAGCATCTCCTTCCACTTCCAAATCTCTAACTTCTACCTGCAAGGCTATTTTTAAACCTTGCAGCAGGGCCAAAATTTCAGCCAGAACTAAGTCTCCAAAACCTACTGGTCCTGGGAAGAGAGACTTTACTACTCCTTGGTGGTTCCTGATAACTCCCCCTATGCCTGCCCTTCCTGGATTGCCAAAAGAGCTACCATCAAAATTTAATTTCAGCATATTTACCTCTGGTGGTTTCCAATCTATTCTCAGTATTTCTTTATGTATGTTTGTCTGTACCACTTCAGTCCAATTCCATAATATATCATTTGTAGAAACATCCTAAAGAGGTCCAATGTTTTCACCCAGTGTGCTAATCCCATTGAGAAAATGACCTAGACTCCATGGGTGGCCCAATCAATGGTATTCCTAGAGTCACCAACACCCTAACTTCAGCTTCAGAAGCATCAGCAGCACCAACTGGACCACTGAAAGCCCAAATCACAATGCCCTCTCTGTCAGTGGTTTAAAAGGCACGCCTGAGGCGCAAGGCGAGGCGCATTCCAGACTAGGCGCCTCACATGGGTCAAGGCGGCCAGACTTTAGAAAGGCGCTCGCCTCTGTACCTAAGGCGTGCACCTCAGGCCAGGCGCCAGGTGACCCAGGCGAGCGCCTATTTAGGTTGCCCATTGGTTATTTATTTGTTTTTAAATTTAATTTTATACATGATTATAATTGTATATAAATTGTTTATTTCCTTTTATGTACCAAAATACTGCATATGTATGGCAAATTTGAAAGAGAGAATACACGACCCATATCGAGAGAGCAAAAAATTTGCCATGCAAGGCTTTCACCCAAATCGTCTCAGACTCTCAGACTCTCCCAGTCTCAGTCAAAGTGTCGAACGGCAAGTTCAGAGCCCCTCAGCCCCCATATTCTTCTTCGATCAGCAGGTTCAGGCCACCTTCGAAGTTCGATCATCAGGAGGCCATCTCTCGGTCGAACGGCAACTGCAGTGTCTTCAGGCCTTCAGCAGTTCGGCACAAGGACAAGGTACTTCTTCTTCTTCTTCTTCCTCACAGAAAAACAGGGGCTCTGCCCAATCTTTTTTTTTTTTTCCAAATATTTCTTCAGTTTTTACATTGAAAACAGGGGTTCCACCCCCTTCTTCTTCTTCTTCTTCCAGTCTTCCCTTGCACTTTTTTACACTAAAACAGGGGGCTCCACCCCCTTCTTCTTCCTTTTTTACAGTAAAACAGGGCTCCCCCCATTCTTAATTTTTTTGGATTTTTTTTCTATTTTTTAAGTTTTCCTTTTTTTTAAATTTTGTACGCATTTTTTAAAAAGGTGTGCGCCTCGCCTTGCACCTCAGGCGCATTTGGAACCTGTCGCTTTTTGTGCTCCTTTCACTTTTAAAATACTGCTCTCTGTTCAGAATAAGACCCCCAAGGCCAGCCCGCAGGAGGCAGGCCTGAGATAGATCTACAGCTACCATCAAACATCAGGAGGAAATCTAGATCTGGACTGGGAATGAGAGGGTGACAGGGTTGACTATCAAGATCAGCATACCTGAAACCTTTAAACTGATTGGAGGAGAGCAATGCGGGGTCTGGGGAGGGATGGATGTACGTAACCTTACCTCTGCATATACAGAGAAGCTGTTTCCAATGACAAAGCTCTACGGAAAGATTAGGGTAGGTAACAGCAGACACCAAGATGTCCTTGTCCAGGGTTAGACTGAAAAAATTAGCATAGGTAACAGACAAAGGTTGAGGGCCCCACCAAGTATCAGTCCAAAATCTTATAAGATTTTCATTACCAATCCTAAGTCTCACTAGAGGGGAAAAGAGAGGAAGGGTTTGTCAAATTTCGAAACAAACTTCTTTCCATTTTTGTCAAATTTGGTTATCCCCACTCCCAATTTTCTTCATTTCCCCTTCACTCATTACACGGAATATTCTACTCGAAGCCCCAACTCTTTTATCCACTGAGAGTTTGAAAAAAGTACCTTTTATCTACCTTTAGCTTTGTCAACCGGTTAAACTTCAAAACATCTTTAAGCCTTGCTTTGTGGATTTTGTTCTCTCTCTCTCTCTCTCTCTCTCTCAATTTTAGCTACATTACCATTCTGGCACATAACCTCTTCTCAATTGATTTTTCATTTATCCCAGAAAAAAGATCACATGTATCCTTCAACTCTATTAACATTACATCACATCCAGCATCTGTTATATATTACTGTACATGCAAAAAGAAAACAATACAAGATTCAATAATAGTTGACCAATATTGCAAGAAAAAGCTACATGTAATAGAAGAGCTTAATAAGATCACAACTGTATCACAGAAAGTCTAAGAGAGCATCTATATGGAAAACAACCCAACTACCACTTTTTTTGCAAGGATTTAAAAAAAAATAAAAATATAGAAGACAAAAAGAAATATTACTAGGCATATATTCTAGATGAGAATGACCAGTTAGCTTTTTCTGTATTTCTGACCTGCAGGTGATCAAATGTTCGTTCCATAATTTCCACTAGATATCGAAAGAATCCTAATAATTGAGGCACCATTGAGGGAGCATGAGAGAGTGTGGCCTCCCATAGCTGCAAAAATTTCCATTAATGGCACAAGTATGGAAAAATTGCAAATAAAAATAGTGAAGAATAGACAAAATCAAACTATCAAACTGAATAACCCACCAGCACACTGTCCTCCAGAAGGTTGAGCTCATCCGGACTATTTATATCGATACCCCTTTGCACAATGGGCAAGAGCATGTTGTAGCAAATGGGTGATTGATAACCAAGAACAACCACAAAGTTTCGAAGTGCAATAAGAAGTTGAATCTGCAGTAAACTTTCACCAGTGGATTCCTCCCAGACCTTGTTGAATTAAAAAGGAACACACAAATTAAGTACCACCGGTTAATAAATCGGAACGAATCAGTGTCAAAGGAAGTTGCATAGATGACCAGGTACACAACCGGATAGGAGACTAACCACCTAGGAAACACTAATCAAGGTTCAAAATATCGATACAGGCTGATATGCCGGTTGGAGCATATCGGCCTGTATCTTTGCTCGCCTTTACTTTTTTTTTTTAGTTTTTTTTTTTCAAACTGGTTCAGAGGGGTCAATTTAAGGCCCGTCTACCCCTTGAACCAGGTTACACCCCGAAACACCTCCTGCAGAGGCATATCAGTGGCCTCCTGATATGATGTGTATCAGYCGATACGGCCTGATACGTATCAAAATTTTGAACCTTGACACTAACCTAGATGCAACCATGCAAGTGCAGTCCTGTAGACAATCATCAATGAAGGACATGCTTAAGCAAGACTTTTGAACAGACAAATGCCAATTATGGAGTCTTGATGTCACTTGTACAGCTATGATTACTGAAAATGTAGACAATAAATGAGAGGCAGACATTAGAACACCTGACAACCAAAGGATAAATCCATAACCATGCAATGCATATACCAATTATACACATAAAGATCCATTATCCAATGTTGGTTCCAGCGCTAGGGTCTTGGGAGGGGGAGACTGGATATGGAGCTTTGGCATTTTTCAGCACAAACTGGTCGCTCACAGACTTGAATCTGTATTCTCATGCTTGTCAACCAGAGATTTTACAATTGCACTAAGCAATTGCCCATATGACATATAGATTAAAAATAAAGCCATAAATTATGTTGGTCCCAGTTATCCAGGGTCCTGGGAGGGGTTGACTCCATGTGGACCTAACCTCAAACACTTTTAACAGAAAGCGGCTTCTCTCAAACTAAAACTGGTATTTTCATGCTTGTCACCCCAAGAATTTTATCATTTCACCAAAAAACAGCCCTTTATACACATGGACTTGTATTTGAAATTTTAGGAACATTACACAATATTATCTTATTTAGAATACAAACAAGTTTACCACAGTTATCTAGTATTCTCTACAAATTAACTCCAACACCCTAACAGATCTGTCTTCATCCAAATTACTGGATTCCTCATTGTAGACACCTATCCACATATATCCATGTTGGGCATGTGGTTATTACATACACTATAACTTCTAAAAGCAGAAAGAACATCCAAGTCATTTAATGGTAGACATAGCAATTTATTCCAAACTTATCCATCCAAGTCATCCATATGAAAGGAGATAAATATTCAACTTAATACCTTCTGAAAAAATTCCACCAGCTTGTTTGCAAATGGAGTGACTTCATCAACATGTGCAATAAGTACAGAAATCAAATTCAGGATCTGAACCTGAAAATAAATATCAAATTGTGACCTCTCAACATGACGATGGCAAATAAGCATTAGATGGAAAGGGTATATAAGTACTTCGTTGTTAAAATAACCTAGAAACACAATAAATGCTGTAAGGAGATAGTAACCCACCTGTAGAGATAATGGGCCGAATGGGCCTTAGTTTCTTTAATTTTCTTTAAGTTATGTTTATGAATTCTGTTAGTAGGTAGTGGGCCTTAGTTATGGACCTGTTTTCTTGTTTTTTATTGTTTTTATTGCTGTCTTAAGTGATGGACACCCTACTAAGGACACTCATGTAATTGTTCTTATTTTTTACAACAAAAGAATAAAAGAGATCATTAGGGGCTGAAGAGAGGTTTCAGAAACAACTCTCTCTTCTTCCTTTTCTCCCATCTTCTTCCTCCATCACCTCTCTCTCTCTTCAATCTCCTTTTCTCCTATTTCTTTTCTTTTTAGTTCAGATTATTGCAGGTGTGATTTACAACTTGGTATAAGAGCAGGTTCTCACCTTCTTTTCTTTCTTCTCTCTTTGCCCATACACAGTGTGTATGGAGAATTGATCATCTGATTAGGGAGCAGCTTATGTAGCCCAGGTGGGAAGGTTTTTGGAGAGGTTTTGTGAAGTTTTTCATCCCCAGTTGAAGCCCAAGGCAGGTTTTTGGAGTTTTTTCCCAAAAACCCTAGACAACTGGAGAACACTAGTTACAAGTCCTAAAGACACTTTGAAGCTGGCGCTTGGAGATCAAAGGGTAGCCTTTTGATTTTCATTAAGGGATATTTGATTTGGACAGGGTTTTGGAACCTCTGGTTAGAGCGGTTGAACTTTCTCCTCTTCTCCCCTTCAGGCCGGTCTTGTGAAACTCTAGATTTGGTTGTTTGAAGAGTAGTTTTTTGCTTGGGATAGCAATTCTAGCTTAGTTTAGACTTATTTTGATTTTCGTTTCACTCAATGGAGCAAATTGGAGGAGAAACCAAATATTACACAGATTCTGGGTTTGGACATGGGGGCTCAATGGGGAATCTTTTTGGGGCAGTGACCATTGTGAAGCTGGATGGGACCAATTATTTAGCCTGGTCTCAGTCTATTAAGATACATGTGTGTAGTAGAGGGAAATGGGGTTATATCACCAGGAACAAGAAGAAACCTAGGGAGGATGACCCTAACTATGAGAGGTGGATGCAAGAGAATTACATAGTAGTGGGTTGGTTAGTGGATTCTATGCAGCCACATGTTAGCCAACACTACTTGTGGATGGAAACTCCAAAGGAGGCGTGGGATAATGTCACGAAGACCTATTCCCAAAAATTGAATGTTTCCCAGGCTTACAAATTAAAGAATGATGTGAATAATCTAAGACAGGGGGAGAAGCCCTTAGTTGTTTACTTCTCCATGCTAAAATCTCTTTGGCAGGAGATTGATTTGATGGAGATTGTGGTTTGGGGGTGTACAAAGGATGCTGAAACACATAGGTAGCTAGTGGAAAGAAATCAGGCTTTTGAGTTCCTTACTGAACTCAACCTAGAGTATGATATTGTGAGACAAAATGTTTTGGCGAAGGATGAGGTGACTTTACCTCATGCTTATGCTATGATGAGTAGTGAGGATAGCAAGAGACAAGTTCAATCTGTGGGCCAAAAATGGATCACTATGCTAATGTTGGGATGAAGCCAAAAGTCACTGGGAAGAAAGATGTTGTTTGTGAATACTGTAAGAAGCCTAAACATATTAAAGACACCTACTGGAAACTACATCCAAAGCTTATACCTGCCAAACTCAAAAATGCAAACAATGGAAAAAGGAATGAGAATGTGAAAGGTGGAAATGCAAATGTAGCCACCTCCTCACAGAGTGAATAGGGGCATAGTGGTGAGAAGTCAGTGGGAGAGCAACCGCTACCCCACTAGGGCTGAGTATGAGAAGTATGGCCGAACAATTAGTCACATAGAGTCTACTACTACAACACCTACTTCATCAGAGACAATTCCTTGTTCATCTACATATGCCCATTCAGGTATTTGTGCTATTGCTCATGCTTCTATCTCATGTAATCGTAGGATCTCTTGGATAATTGATTCTGGAACCTATGACCAAATGACTAGTGTGTCCCATTTATTTTCTACTTACTAGTTTTTATTTAGCCGAGATAGGATCACCCTTGTTGATGGCTCTCTTGCTCCTATCTCTGGCAAGGGAAACATCAGAGCCTCAAAAACCCTCACCTTATCCTCAGTTCTTCATGTTCCTAAATTAAACACTAATTTGCTTTCAGTTAGTAATTTGAAAAAATCTTTGAATTGTAGTGTGACCTTTTTCCCTTCTTACTATGTTTTTCAGGACATGGACTCTCAATTGGGAGTGGCCATGAAGGTGAATGGGTTATACCTGCTGGACATGCCTGGACAAAGCCAAGTATCACCTCTGAGAGTAGCTTTTGGTTCAAATATGTCAAAGTCAATTAGTYTTATTATGTTATGTCATTATCGTTTGGGTCATATTTCTTTTTCTTCGTTGAGTCTTTTGTTTCCAACTTTATTTAAAGAAACTAAGTTGTCAAGTCTACATTGTGACTCATGCTTGTTGTCAAAGCATTGTAGAAACTCTTATTCTTGAAGTAATAAAAGATCTATAGTTCCTTTTCATATTGTTCACTCTAACATGTGGGAGCCATACCATTTACCTGGCTTTATCTTATGCATACCTAAACTTGTAAAACAGTTCCATGAATTTGTGCTTACCCAATTTGATGCCCGCACCAAGATATTCCAATCAGATAATGCAAAGGAATATTTTGAGAATAGTTTTGTTTCATACTTTGAGAAGTTTGGGGTTAAGTTATACATCAAAGTTCTTGTCCTCGTACTCCAAAACAGAATGGGGTAGCAAAGAGAAAGAATCAACATGTTGTTGGAGTAGCCAAGAGCATCCTTTTTGCCTCCCATGTTCTAGTGAGATTTTGGGGTGATGCAATGATGACAGCTACCTACTTTATTAACTGCATTCCTTCTCGAGTCTTGGGGTTCAAATCTCCCTTTGCTATCTTGTTTCTTGAGAGTGAATTGTTTCCTATTCCCTTGTGTGTCTTTGAGTGCACGTATTATGTTCATGTCCCTAGCTCTCAGAGACATAGGTTTGAACCCAAGGCCCAGAATTGCATTTTCTTAGGGTATACCTCCACACAAAAGGGTATATTGTTGTTTTGATCCCACTAGTGGAACTTGTTTTGTCTCCATGGGTGTTACCTTTGTAGAGTCACTTCCATTTTATGGTCATTATTCTGAGGGGGAATATTCCGTTGAATTGTTTTCTCCACCACTTCCTCTGCCTTCTCTTGTTGATCTTGAGGTTGAATCTCCTATGGTTCCTTTTGTTCCAGACTTCCAATGGCAAAGCCTTCGTCTCCCAGTTCTACCATTCATGTTGTTGCTCCTCCTACTAGTCCTCCAATTTTCATTACTCATCCTATTGTTCAGAGGCGGTACCAAAGACAAAGGCTACGACACGATCAGGTTGTTCCCTCATCTACAATTGAGCCTCATACACTTTCAACCCCTCATCCTTCACTACTACTCCAAAACCTCCCTTCCCACACTTGGACCTACCTATTGCTGTGAGAAAAGGTAAGAGGAAATGTACAACACATTGTATTTCCAAACACCTGTCTTACAACCTGTTATCCACATCTTATTATTCTTTCTTAGCCTCCATTTCTTCTCAGCCTATACCCAAGTCAGTTACAAAGGCCTTGTCTAAGCTAGAATGGAGGGATGCTATGAGAACTGAAATAGAAGCACTTCATAAAAATCATACCTGGGACATTGTGGATTTGCCTCATGGGAAGGAACCAGTGGGATGTAAGTGGGTGTTCACTATCAAGTATCATGTTGATGGCACCATTGAGAGGTATAAGGCTCGACTAGTAGCCAAGGGTTATACTCAGGTATATGGAGTTGATTATATGGAGACATTCTCACTAGTTGCAAAAATGACCACAGTGAGAGTTTTGTTATCCTTGGCAGTGAGTTATGACTAGCCCTTATATTAATTTGATGTGAAGAGTGCTTTCTTAAATGGAGACTTACTGAAGAAGTTTATATGCCATTTCCATCGGGTATGTATGGTAAGGAAATGTAGGGCAAGGTATGCAAGTTGAAAAAATCTCTTTATGGCCTCAAGCAATTCCCACGAGCTTGGTATGATAAATCCAAAGCTGCACTTGATGAGTTTAATTATACACAAACAGTCTAATCATACCTTGTTTGTGAAGAAGAGAGGCACTCAGGTTACCTTCCTCATTGTTTATGTTGATGATGTTGTTGTTACAGGGAGTGATACAAAGGAATGCTTACGCACTCAAGACATTCCTTAACTTAGAATTTGAAATTAAGGATTTAAGGGAATTGAGATATTTCCTAGGAATAGAAGTTTCTAGGTCAAAAGATGTGTTAGATCTTCTCACAGAGACTGGGAAACTTGGTGCCAAAACTCTGGGTTGGCATAAACTCTTAGTGATGATGGTGAGCTTTTGGCACACAGGGGTGTGTTCCAGAGACTTTTGGGGAAGTTGATATACCTTTGCATGACACAACCAAATATCCCATATGTTGTTAGTATGATCAACCAGTTTATGCATGCCCCTAGAGACACACATATGGCTGCTGCAGAACAAGTTTTGTGTTACTTAAAGGGAACTCTAGGAAAGGGTCTCCTCTTCTCTAGGCATGGACACATGAAGTTAGATACATAGATGCCAATTGGGATGGTAGTATTGACGATAGGAGATCTACATCGGGTTATTGTGCCTTGGTTGCAGGGAACATTATCTCCTGGAGGAGTAAGAAATAGTCAATAGTAGCCAGGTCTTTGGCTGAGGCATAGTACAAGGCAATGGCACATGGAGTTTTAAAGTTGTTGTGGCTCAGGTCACTTCTAYAGGAGATAGGTATTACACATGATAAGCTCTTAATGCTTTACCGTGATAATTAGGCTGCAACCAACATATCTCACAACCCTGTTCAGTATGACAAGACAAAACATATTGAAGTTGATCGGCATTTTATAAGAGAAAGGGTAGCTTCCAAAGAAGTTTGCCTTCCTTTTATTGCCTCGAGCAACTGTTAGCAAATGTTCTAACCAAGGGTGTCACCAAGGCAAAGTTACAATATTGTGAAAGTAAGTTGGGCATGACTAATATCCATGCTCAACTTGAGGGGGAGTGTAGAGATAATGGGTCGAATGGGCCTTAGTTTCTTTGTTTTTCTCTAAGTTATGTTTATGACTTGTGTTAATAGGTAGTGGGCCTTAGTTATGGGCCTGTTTTCTTGTATTTTATTATTTTTTACTGCTATCTTTAGTGATGGACGCCCTACTAAGGGCACTCATGTAATTGTTCTTATTTTTTACAACAAAAGAATAAAAGAGATCATTGGGGGCTGAAGAAAGGTTTCAGAACAACTCTCTCTTCTTCTTCTTTTTCTTCCATCTTCTTCCTCTATCACTTCAATCTCCTTCTTTTCTCCTATTTCTTTTCTTTTAATTCAGATTATTGCAGGTGTGATTTACAACTCCACCAAATGCTGCCCCAATCATCTGGAGTCAGCAATTGATATACATGCATATATTTTTCTTAAAGCACTACGTAATGCGTTATATTAAATAAACTTTGAAAGCATGTACATGTATAGCTCGTATACAGTGGCAAGCCATACAATGAAGATAGTCTACATCAAAATAGTGACACCAAATATCCATCCAGCACCTGCCTTGGTGTTGCATAGTCAAACCATGGATGATTGGATACACTATAAAAGGACCTGTGATTGTGAACTTCCAAACATGAGAGGCAAGTAGCTACTTCCTTTTAAAGAACCTTCTCCTTGAATGATGACTTAAGACTCAAAAACTCTTAAGTTTACCTCCTACCAAACCACCCAGAAATCAGCAAATAATTCCAGGACACAGAGAGGTACATGTATCTCATGTAATATACTTATATCATGTGTTTATATATAGTTTTTTAAATAACCTTTCTAACAAGTGCAGATTTCTTTATGGTATAATCTGTTAAAGCATACCCTATACATATTTTAAGCACCTCGGAGTATCCATGAAGTATCTGGTATCATATCCGATATCCAACACTGGTAAACTAGGCATATACAGATACCCAGGTATCTTAGATCAGCAATGGTAGGAGACTCCAGAGGACCGTGCCTCTACTATTCAGACCCCTCGAGGCACACTAAAGGAGACCAACTAAACAACTTTTATTTTTAATCTCTGCAACTAATAGTTGCAGTGCAGAGAGTAAAGTATACTGGTCTTTTAATTTTACTTATTCTTACATCCCACTGGCATTTCTATGTAGCAATTTGTACCATACTTTTTCCCCATATTGATAATGGAGGCTCTTTATCTCTTCTTGCCTGCCTTTTGGTCAAGGATTTTTATATATTTACTTTTGATAGCTGTAAATTCTTCATCTATGATACCCAGATACCAGTACAATAGTGCTGTATCACATCAAATACTTCAATTCTTGGTGTAAATTTCATTTCCAATACCATAACCAGCCGTGTCCATGCTTTATCCAGGTAACATCATTACCAAAATTCAAAAAATATAGCCATCTTGGCTCTGTACCACGTTAAAGTCAGGTTCAGATATTGAACTAACACCTTTGTTACAGGTGTACAATTCCAAATTAGCATTTTGGAGAAAGTCTGACCCAGCCACCAATCAAAAGAGGAGTAGGTATAAGTGCAGTGTGGCATATCATAACTACTTCCCTAGATTATGGAAATTAACATAAACTATTGACAACAACTAACCTTTGAATCAAACTCCTGAGCTTCTTCTACCAATTTAAAACATAAATCCCAGCATGCTGGTAGCAGATCAGCAAAATCGTTTTTAGAGAAGTTTGCATCTTCAATAAGGAAGCAGAGAGACCGACAAGCTGCCAGCTGAAACAATAAAACCAATCTTAAGGAAAAAGAGCAGCATATTAAAGCAACATAAATGCTGCTAAAAATGAGGTGGAAGCAAATTATGCATATGGCTGAATCTGAAAGCAATGAAGAGGAAGAAAATCCATAGCAATAATTAACCAAATAAATTGGAAGAAACACCAGGGATGCAAGCATCATACTCTGACTGCAAAATCTTTGCCCTGAAGCAATCTGATCAGAGCACAGTAAACAGATCTTTTTGTGTCATCTTTAATCTGCAAGGAAGAAAATGATGAGAAGTTGAATAATCCATAAACCTATAGAGAATTGTCAAATTCAAGCACCTAATTGAAAATACGTTATCCTCATCAAAATTTGCGGATATGGTTGCCCTCATAATATATAGCGAGAAAACCTATGATATTTGCTTGAATGCCCAAAAAAAGGTATAGAAAAAAAGCTTGATCTTGACCCTGTAGTACAATTTACTCTGCACCACAACCATGAGTTTACTGAGCACAGATTATGCACATGAAATATATTTTTCTCACAAAATTAGAGCTTTTTTTGGGAGCTCATGCATAAAAATCTTATACCTGTAGGATGTGACAGTGTCTAGGAGATTTTTTATCTGGTGAGACTAATGTTAAGACAACCCATCATCTTTTTATCTAGTGTGATTTTGTGACAGGGAAAGAGATATTTCTTTGGTAGAAGCTAGCAGATATCTTGGTCCTGTTCTTTGCTAGCCTTCCCTGCCCCCCCCCCCCCCCGGCGGAAAAGAAAATAGGAAAAATTGTGTCTGGAGTGTGAGATAAGCCATTTTATGGTCCATTCTAAAGGAAAGAAATGTCAGAATCTTTAAAGGAAAGGGTCACCTGGTGGAGGAGATAAGCATTATAACTATTGAAGTTGCTTATTGGTTACTGACTTGAGACGAGTTTACAGAGTCCCATATAAGTCATCTGATACAAGGATGGACTTATGTAGCAAATTCATTCACACAAAACATGTATCTGACCAGGACAAAAGCCCATTCTAGTAAGGACAACGAACCTAAATTTTATTGGATGCTTTTAGGGAACCCAAGGCCATCAAGGGTAGGGGGTTTTCAGGGATGCATCAAGGGAGATCTTATTAGCTTTCTCAGGCCTAGCTGGCTCTGGTGATTCTAGTCTACACAGGTCTAAGTTCAAAGTCCTGCAATAGGGAATGCATTTTATAATAGTTTTAAGGCTGCAGAATGTGGATTTTGAATGGTATTCCCAAGTGGTACTGTGGTAGTTGGCTTATTCAGAAATGGCAATAGCGGTCCTTATAAATTAAGATATCTTGTGAGAGAGGCAAGAGATCTGATTTCTAATGTCAACAACATGAGCAGATAGGTCCAGAGATAGGCAACTCACTTCATAATATAGGCCAGACACAGGTAGCATGAATAGGAAACTTGTGTATTGAGGTCCATTCTTAACTTCACTAATCAATGCTATGCTGTTCAAGTTGTTAGTCTATCCCTTTGAAGAAGGTGTATCTGGTTAAAAGTAGGATCAAAATGATTGTTCTGTTTTTTTTTTTTTTTTTTTTTTAAGAAGAAGAAGAAGGGGGAGGAGGTAATGAAATGAAATTCTATTCAAAATAGGGGAATACATCCCTCCATGTACAGAAAGGCACTATACATGACGAGAGATGTACAAAAAGGCATCTATTGACGAAAAAAGAGTTGGAATTGAAATACAAAGTGAGTCTTATCTGTCTTTTTCTCTTATTGTGGGCATTAGGCAATGCTAGTTTCTGCTTTGTATCATTCATAATTTCCTTTTATATCAATAAAATTGCTTACTTTTACTGATCAAAAGGCAAAAAAAAGGCGGATAACTTAAAATAGGTATGGTCTAAAATCTTTGAGGAAAAGGATAGGAGAAGCTTTTCAGGACCCGAGGGATTTGAAATTTCCATGGCATGTATTTGATGTAGGATAGGCAGAAGATTGTCCTAACAATTAGGTGAGTGGTAACTAAATTATAGGTCTAGAGAATAAGACCACTTGCCCACCTGAGACTTACAGAAAGGATAATAGAAACTTTAGCAACAACTTTGATGGTAGAAATGAAGAGAGGATAAATAAAGAAAGCACCTAAAATACATGCAATGTTAATATATTCTATCAATCAACATATGGTTTCGATCTCTCTTTATAAACTCCAATTGACATCTGCACCAGTAGCCCTCTTATGTTTTTTGTTCATTTACTTATAAATAATAAATTATTATTGATTGAGAACTTTCCAGGCAACCACTTCACGATAATATATACATTCAACTCAATGAATTGCAAAATAGGCTAGTATCATTGTACCAAAGATGCTGCCAACGTGAAGGACAAGGAATTGCTTCTCATAGTACTACTGCCACATGGAACTTCCACTAGTATTCAAGGAAATGGTGCTTCTCCCAGACAAAGTGCTTATGAAGTCAAAACCAGTCATAAAAAAGTTTTAGTGTAGGATACCAAATTCTCAGACCAATGGTAACCCAATTTCTTTCCAGGGAAACCAAGAACTACTACTTTTGGTAAGAGAAGCTTAAATGGGGGACACAAGGCTATTTTCTAAGAAGCCTAAATGGGAGACACAAGGCTATTTTCTAAGAAACTACTACTCCAATTTACATCTTCCCCTTCAACTTATCCTTCTTGAGTATATGACCAATGCCACCACAATGCTGTGAATCGAAGGATAAAAAATTTGTTGCCACAAAGTTATGAGCTATCAGGTCTTGGTCTCTATTGCAAGAATGCTACAAGCTAAAGCATCAATTACAACCACATAAACAGGAGTAGATTAGCACATTGTCAGAAAATCAATTCTGACAGACTAATATTTAATCAAAGGCTTTAGATTCAATTCCAAAACCAAATCAACAAGATTTATCAGTACATCAAAAAATTCATTGGTTACAAAATTAAGTCCTCTGTTAAACGGGAAGAAATTTTGGCAGTGCACCATCAAAACAGGTTAATGAATTGCAAAAGGTTAATTATGGAGCATGGGGGAGCTCTCCTAATTGAAAAATCTTGTGTTTAGCTCCTTCCATGGACTCCAACAAATGGAAAAGGACAATAAATTCCACAAGATTCTACCATTTTTTGAAAAGCCTCTTGCCAGCCATGCTGTGAAGAGGGATTTTCATGTTATCTGGAATTAGCCAACACCAGACAAAGAGCTTGATGAAGTGACTCCATTCTTACTATGGGCACTAGAGATCAGAAATGGTGACGGTTTTGTCTGAGAAGATTACAAGAAGACCATAGATGGGTTATTGGGGGTCCAATATTAAGACTTTAAATAAGAACTACTGGATTCATATTATTTATCTGTTTCCAAATCCCAACAAAATCAAACTTGGGAAGAAGCAAAAATCAGGAATTACTGCAACAGCTAGGACTGATAAATAGGTAATTAGCTAATATGTACGACTTTGTTTAAAAAATTGTTTTTACTGACTTGAAAATTGCATTTGTTTAAAAAATAAAACCATGCATATTGGCAAACAGGATTCATGTAGCTGACCCAATACAGTTGGGATAAGGCATGGATGATGATGATGATATTGGCATGCAGCCCCTTACTAAGTATTATATGACAAGAGTGATGCAGCAAATAAAGGTAATAACGTAAAAAAATGATTGCAAACAAAAATGCATCCAGAACCCAAAATGAAAACAAGAACCAAACATGGGCAGATAACCAGATAACATATTTACCTCAGAAACCCACTGTCCAAGAACCAATGCAACTTTTCGATGGATAATGCGCATATTTGGATGATCATTTGTGAGTTCAAGAGATAAAGCTCCACTGAACCTGCAAATAAAAAGTTCAAAAGAATGCAATACCTTGCTAACATACAAATTAGAAGTAACAAGGATAAAATTAAAGGCACACATTTCATATCATGTAAGCCATCTTACTTGACTTGCACAAGAACTGCCAACAATAGATTGAAGTTTCATGGTTTTAAATGATGAGGAAGATGCTGAAGATTTGCTGATTAATTAGGAGTTAACTGCCAATCATAGAATGCATTGAACAAATTGGAACTTCAAGCCTATGAGATGGAAATGATAGGATTACTGATTTCTGATTTCTTCAAGCAAGGCTTCTATTGTTAGTTTCCTTGTATAGGTACTTCTTCTTTAGGCATAGGTGTTCTGGGATTTGGTTTTATCCTTAAAGTATCCCCAATTTCCCACTCCCCGTAGACATAACAGTCTGAATACTCCAACATTGTAGAATAGAATGAATGAAGTTTGTTATTATCACATCAAAACTAACACTTTTATAATTTCCATCATGCACAAACAACAATGAGCAGTTACAGAAGAACAATATTCCCAATTTTTAAAATGCTGTTATAAGTTTTAACAATGAAGATTAGAAATATATGGAACACTGTGAAAGAATAAAAACAGCAACTAAAAGATACACGCCAATGCATGAAAAGAACTCACCAGTCCTTAAAATTCAGATAATTTGAAAGTTCATAATATACATGCCCAGTAGCTCCATAAGCAGCATCCTTAAGAAGCATTGCCGGACTGATTTCAGTTGCAGAAGCTGGACAACCATTCATTGCCTCCTGAAGAATGGAAACAACCACAGGACCTAACAGCTGAAAAGAGCAATTAAGATGATATAAGAAAGCATCTCAGTACCAAACTATATTGTAGGATTTAGGTAGAAATACATTGACAACATGACAATAATACTGACTAAAAAATGGATGGAAGAAGTGGATATGTTTACTTGACTATTGTTTTCAAACAAAACAATGTATAAAGCCTCTGCACAGGGCCTTAGTTTTTCTGTCCACTGAACCATATCCTGCTCATGATGAAAAGACTCAGGATTGTGGTACCATTCCTCCAGATCACTTGCTGTGAAAACAAAATACCTGTTATGGAAGCACCAAAATACAACTTGCCTTAGAGATATGTAAATGGAGAAAACTGCTTCCTACAACTAAAGGAGCCTGTGTAAACAAGAAAAAGTCACTTTCACAGTGAACCTTTACAAAAGAAAAATGATATATAAAATCTACAATCTAATTATCTAAACTATTAACCAGAAGAAATATATAGATCAACATCATCATCTAAGCCTCGTCCCAACCATATAGGATTGTCTACATGAATCCTGTATATAAGTAAATGCAGTGTTTTGAAAGGTGCACACCAAGGCACTGTCCCTTTCAGGAGTGTGCCTTGCTTCTCAGCCCAGGCACACACCTTTTTTAAATGTCTTTTCTTTTTTGTCAGTTTTTGCAGATTCTTACGTGTTTTGCACCTTTAAAATGGTTAATCAAGTTCTAAATTACATTTTATTGCTATTTGTACACCAGTAATGGTCTGCTAACTTTTAAAACAAACAGAAAAGAACCTTTCAAATACCTAAAGCCTTAGTTCTTCCAAATAGGATCTCAAATAACGAAGTTTTACAAGCTTAAATTGTTGAGTGCTTGATGCACTTTGGCATGATCCATGTATGTTTGCTTTCATTTCCACATTCACTTTGAATATGTTTTATATGTTATGCTTATGTAGTTTAATTTGAGGCAATAGGCCTTTTAAAACATATAATTTCTTTTGAAATTCAGGTTTGCATTTTATTGAAAGGTAACTTGTAGTACTTTTTAGAAAAACCATTTAGATGGTTGTTCTATAGAATAGTTCATCCCAATTAATCCCATGCTTTGCTAAGGGATCGGCATATCTCTTTGCTGATCTATGCACCCATTTGAATTCAACAGCCAGTTCCTTTTCTAGATTTCTTGCCTCCCTCAAAGAATGTCTGTGTTGCCACTTCTTTTTTTTTTTTTTTGAGAAAATTTAACCAGGATTCACTAAAGGAAGAAGAGGTACATGAGAAGATGTACAAAGCAGGGGAAGAACCCCTACAAATTACAGAGGAAGCTTGTCGCTATACAAATGCTCCAAATACACACCACATTTGGCTAAGCCATCTGCTGTATGATTGTGTTCCCTAGGAATCCAAACTAATTTTACATTTAAACAGTCCAAAGAGTCCCTAGCCTCTGCCAAATAGTGACTCAATTTCCAACGTCCCCCCTCTTTGTCTCTTAACCATTTCATAGTATTTGCTGAATCACCTGCAACGATTAAATTCTGGATTCCCAAATTTTTTATTATTCTGATTCCTGTGAGAGAAGCCATCACTTCAGCCTTTGTGGAATCAGCCAAACCAATTGGACCGCTGAAAGTCCAACAAATGTTGTCCCTTTCATCCCATACTGTGCCTCCAATACCAGCTAAGCCAGGGTTACCTAAGGCACTTCCATCAAAGTATAGGGTCATCACTCCTTCACTGATGGGGTCGGAATGTCTCAAGGATGTTTGGTGGAGGTTAGGGAGAAACAGAAAGGGGTAAGCATCTCTATTGAGATCATTGACTGAGAGTCCTTTGAACAGATCTGAGTTCCCCGTCCAAAGGTTGCGAAGGTAAGTAATGTCTGAAATTAACTCCTCCAGGGGCCTGAATTTGTTGTCAAAGAGGCGTTTGTTTCTTTCATCCCAAACTCCTCACAACACTGCATGTAGCACTGATTGCCAATAAACTTTACCCATTTTACTTAAACCTGTTCCTTGCCATTGATGCAGAAAATCCATAACTTGTTCTGGTATAACCCAGCTGTAACCTGCCATTTTCAAGAAATGGAACCAAATCTTTTGGGAGAACTTGCAATGAAGAAAAATGTGATCTGCTGATTTACCTTAACTAAAGCATAAAAATGCAAACATGAGGAGAGATGGACAGTCTTCCCAAAAACTTTTTCTGCAAGAGATACAAGTAATTAATTTCTGGGGACAAGCTTCCCAGACAAAGAAACAAACTCTTGAAGGGATGTGGCTACACCAGATCTTCTTTAAAAGGAAAGGAAGAATGTTGTTCATCAGCAATCAAAACCTTTAACATAGATTTAGAAGAGAATTTGCCAGTTGGGTGCAGGGTCCAGATTCGGGTGTCAGAATAGGAGGGGGAGATGTAAGCTTCTTTAAGGGTCTGAATTAAGTCTATTAATTCAGAAATCTCTGAATCCCTTATGGGTCTTCTGAGTCAAAAGTTTAGGCTGTTCTCAACAGTTTGGTCTGGAAGGCAGGAAGAAATAGTGGCTTCTTGGCCAAGGGTAAGGTTAAAAAGTATAGGGAAAGAGGCCGCAAGGGTTGTTTCCCCCCACCAAAGGCCTTTCCAGAATTTTATTTTAGAACCATTTCCCACTTTATATCTTATAAAAGGAAAGAAAGAAGTATGGGTGGAGACGATACCTTCTCAAGGATTTGTGGACTTTATCCTGATCAAATGGAGATTGCTATCCCACCCATTTACATTTGATCCATATTTTCTTGAGATGACAGCTATCCAAAGAGCATTGGATTCTTCAGGGAACCTCCACAGCCCTTTACCTAAGAGAGAAGAATTTTTCTCTTTTAAGTGCCCAATTCCCAAACCACCTTCCTCTTTAGGCTTGCATACTTGTTTCCAACTGACTAAGTGACTTCTCTTTTCCCCACCTCCTTCCCAAAGAAAGTTCCTTTGAAGCTTCTCAATCTGATTTCTAACTTTGGTTGGAATCTGGAAGACTGAAAGGAAGTAGACTGGAAAATTTGCTAAGGAGGCCTTCAAGAGAGTAAGCCTTCCCCCTTTTGAGAGATAACACTTTTTCCAAGATGATAGTTTCTTCACACATTTCTCCACCACTAGTCTCCAGAAGTTGAGAGATTTTGGATTCCCTCCAAGAGGCATCCCTAGATAGGAAATAGGAAGACTCTCTTCTTTACACCTCAACAAAGATTTGAAGCTTTCTAGAAGTTCCACTTCCACGGAGTTAAGAGCTACTATATTACTTTTGCAAAAGTTAACCCTCAAACCAGTGATAAGCTCGGAACATTCAATTATCCTTTTAGTCTTTGTGATGTTGGTTATGGAGGCATCAAAGAACAAAATTATGTAATCAGCAAACTGTAAGTGTGAAATGTGAATCTTGTCCCTTCCCACTTCAAATCCTTTCACCAAGTTAAGGAGAATAACCTTATCAAAGAGATAGTTAAAGATGCCCATTACTAAAGTGAATAGAAAGGGGGAAAGCGGGCAACCTTGTCTGAGACCCCTACTGGCCTTTAAGTATAGCCTCTCGCTTCACCATTTATCAACTCTGAAAACCATGAAGAACCATTTATCAACCTTGTCTGATGCCACTTCCTTGCATGTTGCTTTCCAGCCATCCCACCAGTGTTCAGGTATGCATTCTTATGTATCATTATTTTTTTTTTTAATTTGTCAAAAATTCATGCCTTGCTTCAAAAAGGCATGCACCTCAGGCACAAGTGCACTTTTAAAACATTCACCCCAGGGACTAGGCTCAAAGGCAAGAAAAAGAAAGAAAAACACTCCATGGGGAGCAGCATCAAAAGGAACCAACCATACAAAAACACCCCTTTATGAAGCCACTGTATGCCCCCCCCCCCTAAAGAAAAGAAAGGAAAAGAAAAAGCTAGATAAACTGCAAGAAACACACATCAAAGCCAAGCCATGGAAGATAAATACCAACCAGCCTAAAACCCCACCCAACAAAGCCAAAAGAGGTTAAAGCATCAATATTGCCAACTTGTCAGAAAACTGTTGACAAACATAACCACCTAAAGCAGCCCCCCCCCCAACTTAAACTTCTCCTCTTACCTTTCCTATGGTGCTCTCGGATTGATCCTTTCCACTCTTAGAAAATTTCTTTTCAAGTTTAGAAAGCACTCTCTCAATTCCTTTGCCCCTGTTGTAAGGCTTATTTAATTGTTACTTTATAGTTGCTGTTAGTAGGCTGACTTCTTAGGATACTGTCAGTTAGTTACTTGTTTTTTTTTTCTTATAGTTTGGTTCTAGGGTGTGCTGCCAGGGGCATACTTGTAATTTTATTCTTTTATTAAGTTAATATAAATAGAGAACTGGTGGCAGCCAGTAGGATCTTTTTCCCCCTCTCAATCGTATCTCCCTTCTCTTCTCTTTCTCTCTCTCGTCTCCCACTCTCCATGAATGATTACATGGTATCAGAGCAGGTTTTCTGGGCTGTAAAAGACCTACAATCCCTCCTGTTTTGAGCAAGGTTTCCTTCTTTAAATTGTTGGACGTGGAAGACAGAGAAACCCTAGTAGGCTATTGGCGGAAACCCTAGCAGATTTCTGGCAGCACTTCCTGTGTTTTTTATTGGTCGTAATACCAAGGAAACCCTAGTCGGAGAAGGGCGATGCTGATAGAGACTCTCTACCTTCTCTGTTCGATGCTGTGAAGTCGATTTCAGGTTGGCACCTTCGTACAGGTGCTGGACAGGTGTGTTCTTGTTTTTGTCTTCTTTAGCCAATGGTATGAAGGGCTTATTCCTTGGTTATATATACTTGTTTGGATGTTGGATTGTTAGACTGTATGAGCTGCAGTCGGACTGATAGTAATGTCTGCCTTGGTTGTGTTGAACTGATTACCGGGYTGGTTTAATGACTGAACCATCTCAGAGTTGATTTCAGCAGTGTCTTGTTCTCTTCCTCACATCCTAGAAGTAAATTCCTTGAGGGTTGGTATTCTGTTTGTGGCTGCTGTGCAGTTGTGTGGTGTTTGGACTGTTTTTCAGCAGTATCGTATGGCGAATTATGAATCAACCTCATCGGGGTTACACCAACCCGCAGCACAGCTGGTATGGGAGGTGAAAACATGATTTTTCCCATGCCAATTACCCCTTTAAATGGTCTGAACTACCTGGAGTGGGCTAAAAGCGTAAAACTCTATGTAACGGCAAGGAGTAAAGCTRGTTACATTAATGGAAGGGTGAAAGAACCCAAGGGTGAGACAGCTGAACACGATAGGTGGGACCAAGAAAACAGTATGGTCATGTCT